CAATTTTCGTACACAATATTTGAATTTTTTATGGGGAAGTAACCATCTCTCCAAAAAGTGCACATACCCAAAGGACGGGTTAAATTTTCTACTCAAAAATGAATCATTATTACCCAGATTCGTCAGCGTTTCTTCGAGTAACCTATTTTATTATTTCTCGAATGCCTTTGCGTTAAAAACCGTTACCCATCGTTTGGGTAAGTGCAAATTTTGGAGAGATGGGTTCTCCTCCATACAACATTCAAAAATTGGGTAAGAATATGTGCTACCTCATTTTTAGCGTGCAGTTATCATTCGCTTGCACGTAATTGAACTTTTTACTTATAAGTTGTTTCCTCCTACGGCAAGCTCAAACTACTCAATTTTAAGTTGTAGATCACTTACTCAATTTTATCTTGGTGCATTTGGCGGTTCAAAAACCATTGGGTTGTTTTGTTTTTCCGTTTAGGGCTAAAATCTCGTTTGTAAATTTTTACTTAATTGTTGCAAATGAGTAACTGTTTCTCCTTTTTCCTGTAACAAATGAGTTACAGTTACTCCTTTGTGAGTAAAAGTTATTTATTTAATGGGTTAAATAAAACTCGTTTCCTGGTTTGATTTGCTTTTGATAAAAAAGGTGGAATTATACTCATTAATAGGTGCTTTCAAGATAGTGTGGAATGTTGTTTTTGACAGTTTAGTTTATTAACCCAAATAAGTATCAAACTATTTGTGTTTCATCCGATCTATCTTGTAAATTTTAAATTGGGTTAATCGATAGCCCAGATTTGGGTAGTTGATTCATAGTGTGTTGTTTACCTCTGACCGTTTTCAGCATTCTGATATTGTTTTATTATATAGTCAAACATGTTTTTAAAAGGTTCTATTTAACTGAGATAAAAAAATTAAATGAAGACTATAATACATGTTTACTTACAGGTGACTCAGCATTCCGTCAACATCTCAGCAGCAGCTTTCGAAACGAACAGACGACAGTTATGAATATCGATGCTTCTTTATTTCTTCAGCAAGTCGCTACTCCACCCAACATTATTTCCGTTCTTCCCACCTCAAGCAGAATACGTGATCAACAACAGCCTTCGTCACATGGAATATCAAAATCTCCACAGAATTCGGACAGTTATACAGGAAAATATCAGTGATTCAGCTGTCCACGATAACGCCGCTTTTCGACCGGTCAGTGTGAATGATAAGGAAACTGAAGAAGAGTTTTTTGGTGAACAGGATGAAAATTCAAATCCAAACAGCAGCGCAGAGAAAAGATCATTTGATAAAGTTAAAGTATTGAAAGGTTCCAAGAAACATGCTTCTTGTGAGATGAAATTCAATACATTTCAAAAGAATTGGACCAAAGTCAGTGACGGTATTCTTGATCATCTGCAGCAAATGCAAGATTTCCGAAACGAAAATTCAAGCCAACGTGTGCCTTCATCCCTACAGATTTCAAAGACCGACTTGAGTGGACTGGCGAATTCTGTAGTTGATCAGTTAAGAACAATTGACCATCGCATTCGAGCGGACGTCATGGAAAGTGCGGCACGGCAAATTATCAACAAGTTTCCTTGTCTGAACTTCGTAGACGACGACGGATTCGGGACAGGAACAGGTTATGTATGGTTGAAGCACAAAATGATAAACCGTAATACTTATCTGAACCGTTACAAAGCACCGAATCAACCAAAAGCTTCTACTACAGAAATCAGGCGATATCGAAATTTGCGAGCTGGAGCAACAAAGGAATACTGACAAAAATCAAGTCAAAATTGTTCCAAAGGAGTCCTCTCGATTCTTTCACGGAATGAACCATAGTTCCTGACGAATGAATTTCTAGAAGCATCTCAATCGTATGTTCGATATCGCTTCGACGAGGATATTTAAGCCACAGAAAGATATTACGGACTTGATGTGTGTTCACTATAAACACAATTTTATGTACATGAAGCAAGTATCAAAATTCATGGAGTTCACTCAGGAATATTTTTTCAAAATTCTTCCGACAACTGGATCAAAATCAAGTGCTACGTGTAAGGGACAGTTGCAGCTGTAGTTGTCTTCTTAATCATTTTGGTTGAAACTCGATTTTCATCAAAGGTCTTGTTTGTTTCATTCCAATATAAAGGACATTTATTTGAATAATTATGAACCATTGCAAATATTTAGTTTTCTACAAGTTTTCTTTACAGAATTTATAAATTAACTAGTAAAAAATCGAAGTAGGAAAAACCAGCAAGTCAAACAATACTGTTACCTGTTCCTGTGTGATTTTCAACGAGGGGAGATTAGATGCAGAAAATATGAAGATTGATGAAGCTTTTTTTTTCCTCTGTTCGGGACCTAAAACTACTGCGACCAGTTAATTGATCTATTGTAGTATATCCCGTGTCCTTAGTTTAGTGCATGTCGTATTACTCCATCACTATTGAGAAATGATGAAGTATTCGATTTTTTTTTTTACAGTTGCCACTCTTGCATTTATCGCAAGGATTTGACTCTAATTGAAAGGTCCCGCCATTTATACCCTTCGGAGTGTTGAAACACCCTCCAAGGGCGCGCCCCTTTGTCAGTCAAAATTGGATTCCTTAACAACAAAATTAAGGTATGACACCGATAATGACCATGCATCAGAACCTTAGTCTTAACCACTTCAAACTAGGGAACAACGAATAGAAGATTAGGAATCACATAGATGCACACAACTAAGTCATTTTTTCTCCTTATTTCAAGATCATCCTCGGTAGACAAAGCCGAGTCTTGTCACTATCAACAAGGCATAAAAAGTAACAAGGACTAAGATGTGTTCCTTGGATTACTGAAAAATCCTGTTCCCCTAGTTTGAAGTAGTCAGGACTAGGAATCGTTGGTAGATCTTACATTTCGTAGCGAATCACGAAAAGGTGATCTACCCACGTTACGGGGCTTGATGAAGCTTACACACTTAGATTATTTTATATTGTTGGGTTTTTCAATTGCATGTAAATATTCAAATATTCGTTATTCGTAAAGAATCAATGAAATTGATAAATTTTATTTTCTATGATTAAATGGGGTTAACAGAACTAAGTCTATTAAAGTTCGGAATAAATTTTCTACATTCAAAGTGTTTATGTTACTTCATACGCGAAGTTTGTGATTTCAGAGTTGGTTGGAACTGCTATCTAATCATGAAGCTTTAGTGTCTTAATTTATTAGCTAGAGAATGATCTTAGAAGAGGGTAGGTGGATAGTTCCGTTAAAGTACGGCACTACGGCAGTAGGGAAATTGAATAGAAGTTGAAAATGAGCGAAGGGCCATTAATGCGACAGTACAAAGTCAAACGCACACCTTCTAGCGAACTATTCCACAGCCGCAGACAGTAATGAGCGGGCGCATACTTTTTGCCTGTAGATTTGAAGACATACTTCAAATCTCCGCGTACATCGTACTGGTTTGGCAAAGAGTGTGCGTTTGACTTGCACTGTCCCATTTATGTCCCTTCGCTCATTTTCAACTTGTATTCAATTTTTATACTGCCGCACTCTAACAGAACTATCCACCTACCCTCTTCTAAAATCATTCTCTAGCTAATAAATTATCAATTAATTTTTCATAGATTTTTCAACTTTTACCGAACAGTTCCGCAAGAACCCAGTAAAACCTTACTGACTGGATTGTATAGATGCAATAAATTACACACTTAGTTTTTTCTACCGAGCTCGGCTGTGCAAATCTCGGCAAAAAAGTTTTACTGAGATCTCAGCAAACATTTAATTTGTTAGCTGAGATTCAGCTAAGCATTATCCGAGACTCAGCAATCAAATGTCACTTTTGCTGAGATCTCAGTGAAACTTATTTTTGCCTAGATTTACACAGCCGAGCTCGGTAGAAAAAACTAAATGTGTAGTGTAGATTCAATAAATTAGAGTAGATGCAATAAATGCAAGCATATTTTTCGTGAATTGATTCGTTGGCGTAAGAATATTCAAGCATTTAATGATTAAAAATATAAGATTCAAATAAGAATCCCAGATCTAACGTGGGTTGTTACTATTTTTTTTTATAAATCTCGCAATACCACTTTTAAATCCTGACTGTATGGTGAATTTCGAAGAGCTGCTTTACCTCCGCTTCCAGCCTCATCACGTGCAGCAATAATCTTCGATTCAACCCTCCATTCATCCATCACACTTTACGCAATTACAGTTCCCATGCCTTCGGAAAACCAGTTTAATTAGAATACCACCCCGCTCAACCTTGTAAACGTTCAAACCGAAGCTTGTAGCTGTCCCACGTCAATTACACCTAATTACTCTTTTCCCAACAAGTAGCATTCTCCGAACGCACCGAGGGTTAGTACCCTCCTAATGATCGTAAGTGAATATCACTTATTCAAATGCTTCCCTGCACTGTTGATTAGCATACCCAGGTACCCATACTCGATGCTTTCGAATGTTCAACTTCACGACGAGATAAATCCAATCGTCCAATTGCTCGTTAACCTCTCTCTCTTTCTCTGCAGTACGTCTCCATCTAGGCATCGGCATCGTTACAGTCCAGTAGGCTTAACCGGCGGAGGAAATTTATGTCTACCAGTTTGGAATTCCCGTTCGCTGATTGGCCAAAACGGATGCCGTGTAACGAAAGTAGGCGGAGCTTACGCGTTCCATTGATGGCTATTACTTTTTGCTCGACGGTTAATTCAGGGTTGTGCATTCTCGCTTCCCACTGCATTCGTAACCGGTTTCGCTGGACGCGCCCTCGCTGGTATTGGTGCTTGCGTGCTAATTGCGGTAGTTGCTCGTTCCAGAGCGCGGGATTTTCACGTGTAGGGTAGAAAGAGACGAATCGCGGTTCGCGGTGGATCACGCGAAGCTACACCAATACAGTGAAGGAAGAAGGCAGAGTGTTGGTTTAATTTATGTGATGTGAATGCAATCTACCTCGCTCCTACCTGGTCTGGTTGTTTACACGTTGCGATAGCGGCCACTCAGTTCTTGTTCGACGTTCGTTTGGCATAGTCAGTGTCAGTGAAAGCCCGTGCAAGCTTTCAGCGGTTGCGATAGTTTTTTTGTTATTGTTTTATCTGAAGTGGTTGGAGAGAACCGCGTCACGCGTGGACGGGTAAACGATACAAACGATATAAGTTTTGGACGCGGGTGATACGCGCTGGCTCCTGCAAGTGACCGACTGGGATCGAGACCGACCGGTGGTAGAAGTTGTTGACTTTTTTTTATCGGGATCGCGCTTGACTACGCGCATGTGCAGTGCAGTTCTGTGTAACGGTTCCGTACGAAGACACAATGCACAAATGCAAATACTTTTCGGTGTGTTTTTCCTTTGTCAGTGTTTGACTGGCTGGCAAGGCTTTGTTGGTGCAAATTCGGGAACCCTGTTGTTATGTGTGTTGTTCCGTCGTCGTTTTGTTGATGCCTGGAAAATAACTCATCCAATTCGTTTTCAATTAGCCACGGTACGACTCTGCTGCCGAATGGTGTGCCTTTGGACCGAGTGAGCTCAACAATAACAATACCAGAAAAAGTGCCTTCCAGTGCCCATGAATAATTGTGGAATTAATTGGATATTGATGACAACTCAAAAATAAAAAAAAATAAAGTGCCTCGCTTCAAGACAAGGGACCTTGAAACAGTTTTAGCGGAAAAGTGACACCTTTGGAAAAAAAAACATCTAACCTTCGATTCGAAGGAGCCTGAAACCCCCGTGACAAAGCTCGGCAGACCGTTGAAGACTTCGTACACGGGAACGTGGAGAGAAATTGGTAATTCTATTAGCAAAGTCACATGCCAACTGACTTGGTCGGTCCCTTTTGAAGTTCAGCTTCATCACATACCGGTAATTAACGTTGGTTTGCGAACCGCCGAAGATCTGACCGCCGCTGGAGATTCACCAATTAGCGCCGAGGGAGAGCACACATCCGAAGGAAAAATACGGATGCGGGTGACTACTAATTACTCCGCCAACCGCTGCAGCACCAATAGACGTGAAAAGTGATGAAGAAAAGCGCATCCATTTGAAGTACCACGAACAAGTGCAATAATTGAAACCTGATTAAGTTGATATTACCGCAATTAACCTCCCGCGGATTCCGTGCGTGAGAGCTTGACGCCGGTTGTCATAGGCCAAAGTTAAGTGCCAGCTTGAAGGACGCGAGGATTAGCATTGCTAGTGTTTGACTAAATATAGAATAGTTTGATCAGAGTGCGAATTGCGATTTCGAGTGCAGTGAAGTGTGCGGTGCGGAATTGGAATTTCAAACCTTCGGGTGAATTTTTGCATCTTTGGCGAAGGAAAGCGGAGATCTAGCAGTGTCGAAGGTAAGTGCCGTCGGTAGCCAGGATTGAGGTTGTGTGCGTGATGAATGATCGCCTTAATGCGAACATGTGTGGATGCGATTGGGTGCTATTTTTTGTTAATGCCCGGTTTGCATTAGTGCTGGTTCACATCAGCATGATGTGAACCGTTTTCAGCAACTGATTCTGATCAACACGCCAGTTTCAGGCGCTCCTGAATTTGCAAGCTGACTGACTTTTTGATTATCAGCATAATCACATTGTGTCAACACTTCGTGCTGATGGTGATTTATTCCAGTAGAAAAATTATCAGCGCTAGTGAACCAGCATGAGCATGTACGCCGAGCAAACAGAACAGATTATTCGTTTTGTAAAATGGAAAACGTTAAGCAGGACATCATCCAATGGATTTTTATATTGTTAACAAATATTGCATATCCAAAAGTGGTCCACTTGCCATGTAAACTTATGGATCATCAAATGGAATTAAATGTATGGTAAGGTGTAAAACGGGCATAAAGAATAATAGGTGTTCTGAAAATTGTAGACATCAGCAAAAACATGGTTTGTCCGAAGAAGAAGAAGAATACGTGGGGCCAAATTCAACGTTATTGGACCATAATGGATCACCTGCCGTCCGAGGTCAGGGTTTTGTCTTCGCCAGTAATCGGTCTGGCTGTTAATTTCGTTGTTTGTGAGCAAAGTGATGATTAGCTTTGAACTTTAATTTTACAAAATTTATCCTGAATTTAAATTGTTATGAATAATTGAAGCATGGCTGTTGAAATTAGCTGCATGTAAAAAATTGTTTATAGGGTCACATTCATAATGAAAGTACAAGTACAAGTTTCGTGAACATTCCTAGAAATCCCCGAGGCTGTGAGAACTGTCACAGATAACTAAGTAGATGAGTAAAAGAAAATGCTGGTATTTATTTTCTATAACATCATAAGATTATTTTTCCAATTGGTAAAACTGGCTAAAATGGTACCATTAGAATTTAACTAGTCGTTCAGAAATAGTAATAATTATAAAAATAATGAAACAATCATACATAAGGGCAAATACCAACTTTGGGACTCGATTTAAAAGTTAACTAGTAAATAATATTGTTTCATCGAACAAGAAAGATATTTTGCGTTGCTTTGCTGCAATTAAAATCTAGATTGAATGTTTAGGACCTGTATTCAAGAACTAATTGTCCATTATTTCATTAACTTTGAAATTTGATCACTTATTCGGATACAGTTACAGTGCATTCTCGCTTTCAGCGGCGCCGGTAGTGTAGTGGTAAGCGTCATTACCTGTCACCCCAGCAGGCCTTGGTTCAATCCGAGTCGGCGCCGCCGGGATGTTCTGAGGCATAACAAAATCAAGGAAAAAAAATCATATAATTGGAATATTTCCTTGCTGTTGGTGTGGTACAAATTTCATCAGAAATAGAACAAACTATGAAGCAAAATGCAACCCAAGTAACTATTTTAGCTAACTAACTATATTAGCGTACACAGCCAAAACTTGGCTTATACAGCTAGTTTGTGCCTGTTTAAGCTAGTCTACAGCTACAAATTGTTTATTGGGAATATCATGTTTATGAATCATTAATCACCAGTACAATACATGGCATCATTTTGAACATTTCCCAATCTTCATTACCCCGTACATCTTAAGAATCATGAAAAGTCAAGGATCATGAAATAGTGATTTTAAATATATTTATCTGACATGAACGCCTTTTAACGGACCACTTCTTCATGCAGTTTTAGCGTGACTTTCTACCAGCGAATTCACAAAACTGGACCTTCAAATTGCTTTGTTATCATGAAACGCACCACTTTTGGCTATTTTTATCGTGGTTCTAGATGAAAAATCTCAAAATATTGTTTTATTTCAAAGTTCCAGTGGTGGGAAACGTCATTGAGCTTTAAATGAAGCGAGCCTAGGAGCATCGCACTCTAATCTTTGTATTTCTCTCGACATAACATATTTAAAAATACTTAAGAAATACTTAAAGAATACCTAGCGATAAATTGTTTGTACGGCTGCTTATTTTTCCGACGTCAGAGATTTTGTGTGGATTTCTATAAACTTCATACGATATTCACATTTATTCCAATGCGGCGCCGGTGGTGTAGTGGTAAGCGTGATTGTCTCTCACCCCAAAGGGCCTGGTTTCAATCCCAGTGGGTGCCGTCGGGATTTTCTGAGGTATAAAATCTATGATCACGCCTTCGGAAGGGAAGTGGTTGGTCCCCGGTTCATGAGTTGATGGGTCGATAGGTAGGGTCCAGGTGTGGGAGCTGCCTCCCTGGCGTTGGTAGCAGTGACTCAGTCCCAGAAGGAAGCATGGACTTTGAAACCTATCGACCATTGCTCATTTAAGTTTGTAGTTCAAATTACATATGTGGAAACCACTTTCATGTTATAATTATACTTTTGAGCTGCTAAGATCTTGATCGTATGATAATGGCAAAGGGCATTTGAGCTGATGGGAGATAAATCGGAAGTTATTACAGTTCTACAATCATTCGATTCGCATCATACTTGTGGCAGCTGGAGAGCCGAGACTTGTAGCTTCTGTAACAAAACTTCCAAGGGATTTGACGCATACAATGCCTGGACATGATCGAAACGAAATATCCAATAATAATAATAATATTTAAAAATGCTAATTTCAAATAACAGACTGTAGTGGTAATTTTTATACGATAGATGGAGTAGATGAAAGCATAGAGTTGATAAAGGGTGAACACGAAATTATTGCGACACCGAAAATGTCATGCCAATTTTCTTATAATGTCTAGAATCAAACCAAAATTTTAGGGTAGTTTTATACATATATTTACTTCAAAAATCAAAAGAAAAGTTAATCGATGGACCCTTGAGTGTAAAATTGAACGCATTTTCGCTTGATGCCCTCCATCAAAGTCTTTACAGTGTCATCCGGTACCAGTTTCTCAGTTTTTTTTTCCATTTTCTTAACATGTCCTTCTCGTCTTTGTCTGTCTTCTTGCTCTTCCGAAGTTCCCGCTTCATTATTACCCAGTACTGCTCCACCGGGCGCAGCTCCGGACAGTTTGGCGGATTCATGTCCTTTGGAACAAAATGGACAGAATTGGCCTCATACCACTCCAGGACACTTTTAGAATAGTGGCATGATGCCAAATCTGGCCAAAATAGCGGAGCTTCGTCGTGCTGCTGCAAGAACGGCAAAAGGCGCTTCTCGAGGCAGGGGGTATATACTGTGCCCTTTGTCACGAAAGGCTCACTCCTCAGTCCGCAAGAACAGATGGCCTGCCAAATGAGATATTTGGAGGCGAACTTCGACATTTTCTTCTTCTTAAATTTGTCGTCCACATCGAACTTGCTCTTGCCGGTGAAAAACTCCAACCCCGGAATTTGCTTAAAATCGGCTTTTATATACGTTTCGTCGTCGATCACACAGCAGCCATATTTTGTCAGCATCTTCTCGTAGAGCTTCCGTGCCCGAGTTTTAGCCGTCGATTGTTGCCGCTCATCGTGGTTTGGGAAGTTCTGTACCTTGTATGTATGTAGTCCAGCTCTCTTCTTTGCATTCTGGACGTAGCTCTGCGACATGCCGATCTTTTTAGCCAAATCACGGCTTGAGACGTTGGGATTTGCTTTAATCATCCGCTTCACCTTTCCCTCCGTCTTTTTGTTCTCCGGTCCCGGTTTTCTTCCAGCTCCTTTGCCGTGGTCCAACGTCAACCGCTCCTGGAACCGCTTCAACACTCTGGAGACGGTTGAATGGTGAATGTTCAACATTTTTCCCAACTGCCGGTGCGACAGGTCAGGAAATCCCAGGTGTTTGGAAAGAATTTGTTCTCTCAACTCGTTCTCCGTTGGTTCACCTCCATTTTCGTTGAATCGAAAAACATGCATAATTTGGTTGATTTTTACCCAATGGTAAAAAAGTTATGTCCTGTTGAATGTGTCGCAATCATTTCGTGTTCGCCCTTTAGTTCCGTTAGAGTACGGCAGTGTGAAGATTGCATATAGATATTAGAATAGCGAGCTAGGACAACTTTTAAGGAAGGTACAAATCTGTTTTTTCATCTCTCTTTACCAAACTCCCCCTTTGGAGAGGGATGGTGAGGGGTGTCCCCCCTGAAAAAACCGATTTGTACCTTCCTTAAAAGTTGTCTTAGCACGCTATTCTAATATCTATATGCAATCTTCACACTGCCGTACTCTAACGAAACCATCAACTCTATGCTTTCATCTACTCCATCTATCGTATAAAAATTACCACTACAGTCTGTTATTTGAAATTAGCATCTTCAACTATGTAAATCGTTGACTTCACGTAGAAGTAATACTAAAACATATAGTCAAAGTATTTAAAAATGCATATCACACTAAAGCATGGCCCACTTAGTAATGCAACAACATCATTTCTCGATGAACATTTCAAATGGTGCTATCTGCTTTGATCTATTCTCTTCATCGACTTCCTATTTTCATAACCACTGCTATGCAAACAGATTTCACGCTAATTCTACCACATAGTTTGATAAAGGAGGTTCTTATCTAGCGTCCGATACGTCAAATACTACAGGGAAAGGTTTTACAGCTGAGATATTAACGAAAAAGAAAATCGATGAAGAGAATCGATCAATGCAGACAGGACCTTTTGAAATGTTTATCTAGATTTGGGTTTATTTCGGATTTAAAAACGGTTTTCTCTCAAGCGCATACTAGGGATTCCTTATGTTTTAGGAAAAAATCCGAAACGAATTATTCGTCGCGGTTTCGGGGGAATTCTCGAATGTTTACCTTAATACGACACATCGAGCGGCGCACAACGGTCTCGTCCACTGTTTTGGCGATTTCATCCCTCAAATTTTTCATCTGAGCTACCGTTTTGATGACTGTACCTTTTACCTTCAGTTTCCTCTTCATAATTGCCCATAATTGTTCTCAATGGGCCTTAACTGGGGACAATTTGGCGGATTGAGGGTTTTCGGAACAATCTGGACTTCGTTGTCATTGTACCATTGTTG